TCTTCAAGCTTATAATTATAAACGAACAGAAATCCGTGAAAACCCGTTAGAAGTCCTATTTGTTCCTAACTATTTCTGATTATTTTCAAATTTGGAAATTTTTACCAAAGAAAATAATCTTTCAGGGACCTTCCGTACAACAATTCAGATAACACAATACATTCACAAAATATTCTTTAAATTTTCTCTTTTTCTGAATGATAATTCCTTAGGAATTTATAGGAAAACATATTGAAAGTATCTAAAAAATTTACATGCACTATGTTTAAAATTCCTAAGTATTTTTTACAATTAGACATTCTTTGAGTATTCGAATAGAATTCCTTCCATATCAACAGGTGGTTACTTTATAAATACAAAATAAAGTAATGTTCAGAATAAATAAATGATTTTAAAAATATCTAATGAACCTTAACTAACAATAATGTTACATTAATATTATTATTTCTTATTCAACAATGTAAGTCTAACAAATATATTTTGTATATAATATTTATTTATTAAATGATTAATTATAATATTCTTGAGACTTTCACTGCTTTCTATATAAAGATTATGCGTTTCGCGGGTTTCCTCCGTGTCCAGATCTATTCTTGGAATGCCAACGTTTCGTGAACCTTGCTGTCCACTTTATCAAGGCTGATACTTACATACAGGCTACTCCTCGCCCTGATGAAGTGGACTTCCAGGTTCACGAAACGTTGGCATTCCAAAAATGGATCTGGACACGGAGGAAATTCGCGAAACGCATTAATCTTCAGATAAATTGTAATATTTATTAATGCAGCATTAGTTAGTATGATATTTAATAGATGTAATAGGCTTCTTCCAAATAAAATAGTTAAAATACATTCCAAAGACATTAGAAAGTTTGTAAATTATCGCCGTGATCCATTACTGATGTCAACGTTTGTGAATTTTATTGTTCACTTCATCAAGGCGAGGAGTACACTTTTTCAATATATTGTACAGTGAACTCCTCGCCCTGATGAAGTGAACAGCAAGCTTCACGAAACGTTGATATTAGCAATGAATAAATATGTTGATAACCCACAAAGCTTCTGGTATTTTTGAAGAAAAAATATCCTTGAAAACTTCAAAAGTATTATAAAACACATTTCACTTCATTGAAAGAATTGTAGACAAAGTAAAGTTAAAAGATTATTACTTTAATTAATTTCCTTAAAAAATGATAAAAAATGAACTTTATTAGGAGATATGATAGCGGCGCTAATAATTGACAAGCGCAATGGTGTCATACAGCGCGAGACTGTACTTTACACGAACCGCCGAAAGTTGCGAGAAACTACAGTCCGATCTACATAAGACGCAAAATGTAGGTCGCAAATGAAACGTATTTCAGATTGCAATAGATTGCAGATCGCAATACGTGGGAAGCCAGATGCAGGACGCAAAAGTTGAAATCACTCAATTTTTTACATTCTACGTTTTGCGTCCTATTATAATTACAATACATTAGGTTAATTTCTAGTTTTGCGATCTGCGAAATTCTGCGCCTTAACATTATCAAATTGGGCTTAACATTATCAAATCACAATAAAGGCTGAAAAGGCGATTAAGTTCTATGTACGCTCATATCTTTCATAAGAAAGATATAATAAATGTTTTTATTTTTTTTCTAAGTCCTTTACGACGAAGATATCGCGACGCAAATACCGAACCTAAAATTTATAATCTACAATATACAATTTAAGATACGTCGTAGTCATCATCGCCTTCTCTTACAAAAATGAACTATTGGATTTTAATAGTGATTATCCGTTCTTTAATAATTATTATTTATTGTCCAATAATCGGATTGTTCACAATAATCACTCCCTAATAGTTTTTAGAGTGATTATTGATTTTCTAATCAGATTATTCGTAATGATCACTACAGCGCACTATAATAGTTATATATATATAAATGATTATTACTAGTTTTCAGTAGTTAAAACTATCCATAATAGTGACTATTTAAATAAACTGCGTCTAATTCATTATGCCTATAATCAAGATACTATAATGCCATATCAGTGATCAAAGTATTTGCAATAATCATCCTTGAAGTCAAACTATTTGTTGGACATATAACTAAAATTTTTTTAGACTTGTTTATGAAATTAAATATTCACGTATATTTTAACTATACGTGAACTTTTTGATAATATCTATTGAGCAAATGTGTCACAGTTATACATTTATAAACATTAAGAATTTGTTGGTCGAAGCTGTTCCCATACGATCGCAGAGGTCAAGCAACACTAGATGACATACAGCTTTAGATAGATGACAGCTTGAGAGCAGCATGAAATTAGGTCGCAAGTTCAGGGCGAAATCTTTTTTTAATCATAATTTTGTCTTGTGTATTTTGGAATATGATGCTAAACATTAATATTTATTTTGGTAATAAACTGAATTAATTAATTTTTCCAATAATTATTTGATTAGTTTTCTCAATAATTTAATAGTAGTTCTTCTCAATAGTTCGAAAATATGGAATTTCCAGATTCACGTATTTCCTAACTTCAATCTTCGCAAGTCTGTTATAGAAACTTCTCGATGTAAATTTATAACATTGAATAGTTTCTGGTAGGCAAGAATTATTATGACAAAATGTTTTAGAAAATTTAGTATTTAATTTTTTTAAGAACATAAAAATTATTTTGCAAGAAAAATATTCTTTAATAACGTAAAGTACTATCTCTGCACGTTTAAACTACAGAGATGCTCCTGAGCCAGAGCGTGACGTGGCGCTCGCCGGCTCGGATAATAGTTCTTTCTCTCTCTCTTAACCTGTTATCCACTCTGTCCTGCCCGTTGCGATTGTGCATTTACCATAGTATTCGCGCTCTCTCTTCTACTCGTTGCGCTCTTTATCTCTCTCTCCAATTTCTACGTTCTCTTTTCTTCTTTCGCACACGATTTTATTAAATAGATATAGTATTATAGTTTTTTACAATTTTTTAATAATATGATTCGGCAATAATTTTAATTTAACAACTGATAATATTGTATTTTTAATAATACAAATGGTCAAGCATGCTTTCTTATCAAATAATTCAATATAGAGATATAAAGAAGGAATGATTGAGAGACAAAGAATTTAATAATTTTAAATTATATTACAAAGAGTAATATAATTTTAATATTCATTTATTTAATATTCTCATTTTTCATATAATGCACGTCATACAATATGATCTGAAGCATATGCTATCAATTCACATTTGACATTAGAATTTCTATCATAAATCTTGCGCAAAATATTTACTACAAATTTATTCGTAATATAATGCAATTTTGATGTAAATAAGTCATGAAATATTTGAATTTATCTCTTACACTATTCATACAATAATATAAATAGGAATACACATGTTCATCGGTCAAGTTCAAGCATAAAAAGTATAGTTGATGATTTCATTATTATTATATACTACCGGGTTTTACATGAGACGCGATGTTGAAATATATTTACGTATCAATTTCGAACTTCTTACCGACATTGATATGATTTTATTCATTGAACGTGGTATCCGTGGCGATCTGAGTCAATGTTCGAACAGGTATGCGCAGGCCAACAACAAGTACATATAGTTGTACGATCCATTAAAACCGTCAATGTACCTGATGTACTTTGGTATTAACAATCTGATTGGACAATGTGTCAACCATTGCCATACGCTGATTTTCGCTGGGTCGACAACGTAGACAGTTTTGACGTTACGACCATTGCGATTCACCGACGGGTTACGTTCTCGAGGTGGACTTGGAGTATCCGCGATATCTCTATGATACGCATTCCAATCTACCGTTTTGTCCAACGCACGAGAAACCATCCGGCAAGTGAAAGGAGAAGTTCCTCGCGACATTGTATAATAAAAAGTGTCATACATTACATCATACATTATCAATCTGCAGCAATGTACTCATCACGGTCTCTGCATTACAAAGATCCATCGCAATACAATTCGCACAATTCCGTAGCTTCGCGAGTTACATCCAACTCAATGCAAATTTTAAAACTTTAGCAAAGAATGAGTTCGAAAAAAACTTATTCAAATTAATGAACAACGCGGTTTTCGGAAAGACCATGGAGAATGTGCGTAACCATATTGACTCGTAACCCGTTGGGACGGGAGATACGATGTAGAGGCAATGATCGCGAAATCAAATTTTCACGATAGAAGCGTTTTTTCCGAGAACATGGTTGCGATAGAAATGCGGAAACTCGAGGTGAAATTCGACAAACCGATATACGTGGGTATATGCATCCTTGATATATCTCAAATGTGTTTGTACGTGGTTTCACCACGAGTATATGACACCGCTGTTTCGCGAAAAGTTATGTACATTGACAAGGACAATTTAATTTATCATATCAAATGCGACGACATATGAAGCACTATATCAATCGATTCGATACAAACGATTACGCGATCGACAATGCTTATAACATTCTAGTAAATAAAAAAGTTCCGGGCTTGATGAAAGACGAACACAATGGCGCGATCATGACTGAATTCGTCGGACTTAAAGCGAAAATGTATTTATGCGTTTATGGGAAGAAGGATACGAAGAAGGCAAAAGGTGTTAAATATAACGTTATAGTGAAATCAATAACGTTCGATGATTACACGCAATGTCTACATAACGAAATCGAAATGAAGTGACAGCAATCTCTCTATAAGATCTAAATTGCATGATGTGTATACAGTATCCGAAACGAAAATCGCTCCAAGTTCTTATGTTGATAAGCAGTATATTGTATCAGATTCTACCGATACGCTGCCATGGAGATATTATAAAATATTATTATAAATTCATTTCTTTTTTTCGTATTTATATATTTTTTAAATAAAACACATTTGTATATAGTGTATAATATGTGTTTAATATGAATATTATGAATATTATATATACGTACGCATGTATGTGCGTGTATACATATGCATGTATAATATAATATGTGTAATGTGTATAATATGTATAATATATTATAACACATTATCCTTGTGTATCCAAGAGTTGTGTGAATTATTAAATTCAAGCCATTTCACGTAAACTTTGTCTTCTTTTTTACGCAACACCTTTTCAACTAGATATATGTTGGGATTAGCGACGCGATGCAGCTCATATTCAGAGAATCCTCTAGCGACTGGTTTTCCGGGATAATTTTCCAGAAGATACGTCACAGAATTAATTTTCTGTACCTTGATTCTAAACACCTCCATGGTCCAATTTGGTGTGTAACCTTTCTCAAAGATCGTTTTGAATTTGCTCATACGTAGCAAGTCACCCACATTGAATCGCGGGAATGCGACCTTTACGCTACTGTACACCGTGTTTAAGAATTTGTCGGCGATCGTAGGAGTCACATCGATGGGCCGCATACCGGATAGTTCGATGCTTTCGTGCGTTGTATTCCGATGCGGTAGCAAGTCGATCCATTTGTAATTTCCATTGTGTGTAATTGTTTCCATATATCGTTTTTCAACATGCGATTGAACTGTTCGAAAATTGATGCTTTCATTATAAAATACGTTGAATAATGATTTATATTATGTTTTTTCAAGAGTATTTGTAAAAATCTTTTCCCATATCGATTTGCAAATTTTTCGGACATTTTCCGTCGTCTCGAATTATCTTTGCTATCGCTATAGCCATCTCATTTCCACTCTTGATTTTGAGCGGTACGGCCCATGCGTGCTTACTCAACACATCGATAACAATGAGAATGTATAGTGGTAACTTTTGTTGAATTGTATGTAAGGACGCATCTCGACCACATCAGCCTACCACAGGTCATTATATTCATAAACTATGACACGTGAACATTTTTTTCTCGTCGGAGCGTGCAGTTCTTCCACCGGTCGCCACTTTTCGAGGCTTTTCTTCTCAGATATGTTACGTTATGTTATAATTATTGCTATATAATGTGTAAAATATTACAAAGTAAATTCGTACGTTCTTACGCAAACGTTGTTCATCGGCATTTTGATGTCAACTAAAATGAGTGTGTATTCCGTTTCAATTTATAATAAAGCTAGCTTCATGAAGCTTCTCGATAATAGACAATATTTCGTTATCGTGGGCGTTGCGACCTGCGTGCGAAGCCTCAAGCAATCGAAGACGATCCATTAGCTCGTTAGGATCGTCCCAATGAACATAATCGATTTTATTGTTATTTAGGATTATGGTGCGTAGTATTACACATTTTCCGATTCTTTTATCTGACTTGTTGTTTAGATTCCTAGCGCGTGGTATACTTGTTCAAACTTGTATCTTACCTAATATTAAGGGTGTTATTATATTCTTATATTTGTATCCTTTGTTACCCAATATTGGATTATCCGCTATGTCTATGAGCATTCGTTGCCAACAGTATACTTTTATATGCTAGTTTATCATCCTTTGTGTAAATAGTGTCATCGGGGATTCTTTTGAAAATTAATTCATACAAACCAGACCTTTGTACTGTATTCCATTTACGATCACAAAGTCATTCGTGTTTTCATCGAAAAATTTGTTACCGAGTTCCGTTTTCGCTGAAGGTATACGTGATCGATCGCCTTTTCTCTGTCACCACCGAGAAGCATTTACGTATCTTTGTCCAAGTGTCCCCAATTGATTATGCAACTTCTCACGAACTTGTCGCGTTTGCAAAGATTGTTTAACTAACATTTCAAGCACTTCATTAATTTTCATAAATGTTTGCATAAATGTTTTCGACTGAGGGAACGTGCGAACGTTCGTACGATAATTCGCGTGGTTCAGGCGATGCATAATTGGAATTTGACATAACATTTGATTCTTTTGTACGTTGCTTTTTAGACAACGATATTAATCGAAGCCATGAATTATTCATGTAGAAGCTATCACTATCATTATCATTTTCATCATGAACATCTTCATTATTTTTAGGTTTTTTTTCTTAATATTTTTATTCTTTACAATGTTGACTTCTTTCTTAATTGGTTGATTCATCATTAGCGGTTCTCGACAATCTGTTTTAGAAGTTGGACAATAGGGTTAAAATGTTTCTCCAATGTTATATTTTCCTCTATTTTGACGGTTTTTAAAGCACGATACTTTTTATGAATCAAGTCACTAGTTTTCGCAATTTGTTTCGCTATCCTCTTGTGATTCTTGAGCTCTTTACTGTTATTCATGTTGCACTCGAAAGGAAATGTTGTGTAGTTGACCTATTGACAGCGACTAATCACGTTAAGGTATCGCATACTCATTAATTACCTTTTCTGTATCGTCCATTCGTAAGCGCACTGTTTTTGTCTATAACTACGAATCCATACTTCTGTTGTCAACAACAACGACACAGTTTGCAGAAATTCTCGTAAGACATGTCGGTGTTTACATGATCATTGTATACATGTTTCAGATTGGTATCGCCCTGTTTGAACAGGATCAACAGATTTGCATTATCGCGTATAAGATGCTTCGGTATCTTTGCGTACATCTGACACAGATAGAACAGTCGACGTCCGCGTGTCGACCTATCACAAACTCTCTAATCGCGTCTTGCTTGTCGCATGCCAGGTCATCGAAGACAAAAATGGAATTTCGAAGGGCTTCGTTCGATGGTACTACGTGATTATTGGAAAATGTAGAATAATCATTTTCTTCAATTGGTGATAATAAATTCTCTAAGTATCTGTATTTTGCTGTTGCAATGATTTCGAGTACACATACACGTTCTCGAAACATATGCCATGGACTTTCCAATAAATTTATCAACACATTTGTTTTGCCGTAGTTCGATGAATCGCAGATGATTCCGCGTATAGAAATCGGCAGCATGTTTCTAAGCTTGCGTATTTCTTTTTCAGTCTGTACTTTATTGTCGACATTAGTCACTTTGATCGTCTATGATTGTCGTACGAACTTCATATCTTCTTCATTCATGACACTGATAATTGAAAAATCGAGAGCGGATGTATTTAGTAATGCGTAAAGCGAAACCGCTCAGTTTTTAAAATGCTTCTTATCGTGTTGGACAACTGTGATATACATAGTATAATCGCCAAAGAGTTGGAATATATACCGAAAATTATTTTGCTACGAGAGTTCAAGAATTACATAGATCAATTGTGGGACAGATTATCCGATTTATCATATAAATTCAGAGTTTCAGTAACATCGTCAATGCTTGAAACATTATAATATATTTGCCCTGCCATCAATCGCATATTGATGATCCAGCGCTGTTCATAAGAAATTGTAGCAAATGTCAACAACAAAAGATTGTGGTTTTTTAAATCACGCGATAAATGCATTTTCGATCGAGTTGCATATTTCCGAATATCAATTTTGTGATCTAGGTACGCATTTAGAAAAGCGATTGGCTAGAGGCATTAATCCATTGGACGCGGTGTGTCGCAAAACATGGCATAGCTTATTCGCGGAGCAAAGATCTTACAGAACGACACGTAGCTGACAAAATACTCGCTAAGAAGGCGTAGAAATGAATTATCGTAAAAGATTCGACTCTTAGAGAAAGAGAGAGAGCTGCTGCCACAGATGTTTGGGCGGCTGAAAGCCAAAACGAAAATTGGTATGGGCTTGAAAACGAAGAAGAAAAAGCTAACCAAAAAACGAATACTACCGGTGGCAAACACAGTGGTATCTTATCTATTCTACCGCTGTTGGGAGTCTTCGGCTCGTTGGTTAACGGCGTGGCAGGAGTCTCAAAAGCTATAAACGATAATAAAGCCGCGCAACGTCAGTTGGAAGAACTGAAACGTTATAACCGCGTCATGGAAGATCATGGAATTTATTTTGCTCAGTACAAGCGGATGAGGAGTCACAACGGAAAAAAATTTTAAAAATTAAGAAAAAGAAAGCAATTGTCAAAAATGCCGAAGAATGTAACTACCAACGGTCAACTGCAACAATTGGCTAAACGTATGCGTATTCCATATTTTAGATTTTTATGCGTACTAATATCTTATCAACAGAGAGAATGTATTGAAACGAGAGCGGTATCGTAAATTTGGATAATGCTGATGGACTAGGTACTCATTGGGTGGTGTACGTGAAGCAGGGCTATTACTTATAACATATCGTGCTGCTTACTTTATAGCAATCTTCAATCACCGAAGGAATTGGTGCGATATTTGGATGTAACACAAATCGAGTATAATCATACACCTTATCAACGTTAAGATCAAAATAACTGTGAACAACTGTGTCTACAGTTTTTACAGACGGTTGATGATCAATTTAAGAATTGACATCGCGTTCTTTCAACTCAGTATTCATTCAAACAGGTCACTGACATCCGATGACATAAATATATGATGACATAAATGTAATCTGACATCGCAAATTGCAATGTCAGCAAATTTGCAAGCCATTTTCAATATGGTCTTGTCAGCGTAATTTATTAGGTGTACAAATAAGTTTTAAAGAGTTTTTAATGAAATTTAATATTTATTTATTTAGAAACAAAAACACACTTAATTATCAAAATAATCTGCATCATTATCTATGACCTTTAGCCATCTTTCGGGCAGCTTGCGAATTCCAGAAGCGAAAAAGGTTTCATCTTTCAATGCGATAAAATTATCCATCCATTTTCGCACTTCCTCAAATGCTCGAAAGTGTACAGCGGACAAGGCGTTTTGCATTGACCGGAATAAATGATAATCAGAAGGGGCTATGTCTGGGCTATACGCCGGGTACGGCAGAATTTCCCAACCAAAAGCTAGCAACGGTTCCTTTACAGGTCACCAACATGAGGCCTAGCATGAAGCAATTTCACAGGACGTTTTCCTTTGCCAGTAAATGGACGATTTCGTTTGATTTCTTGATTTAAACGGATCAATTATTGATTGTAGCGATCATTGTTAACCGTTTCATTCGGATGGAACAGTTCATAATATAGTACACCCTTCATGTCCCACCACAGATGCATAGCATAACTTTGCTGCTGTGGATGTTGTGTTTTGGCGTTGATGTAGTGGGTTGTCCTGGATTCACATAATGTTTTCTCTTTTTAGGATTATCGTAAAAAATCCACTTTTCATCACCAGTCATGATTTTTCACAAGAAAGATTTTCTACGTTGTTTATTGTACAGATTCAAACACTTCTCAAGACTCATCATTTTTGTTTTTTTCACTTAATGCATGCGGCACCCACTTTCCTTCCTTCAGAATCTTTCCCATCTGCCGTAAACGAATTAAAATATCTTGTTGAGTTACTCTAAGTTGCTGTGCAAGTTCGTTTTGTGTTTGACATGAGTTTTGATCGAATAATGCTTGCAATTTGTTTGTAACCTTCTGAGGAGCACCACTACGTTCGCTAACATCAAAATCATCTTCTTTAAATCGCCTAAACCAAAACTCACACGTACTTTTGGATACAACATTGGCTCCAAGAACGGAACAAATTGATTCACATGCTTTAGCAGCGCTTTTTCCTTAATGAAATTCGTATCGAATGCAGTGTCGAATAAATTGCTC